TCAGCATCCCTTGTTAGCCTCAGCTTATTCTCAGCTTTAGCCTTCCTGATGTCATAGTTGCATTTCTGTGCTACCTGCATGCATTTTTCTTCAGCAGCCTGACTTTCCACTTCCTGTAGGTGTCCGGTTTTGTCTTACAGGTTCCTCAAAACTTTGGAACCATACTCATTTCTTCTGTTCCGTTCTCTCCTCCCTTTTCTGTTGGAATTGTTTGTTTCTTTAAAATTAGCTTTTTAGAAACACCCCACACAACTTGGCCTGCTTTCTTAGGGGACCTTGCCACAGGACCTTATTATGACTGTCCTGAATTTATTGAAATCCTCTTTCCTAAGTGCTGGAGAATGGGCATAGACCAAGGTAGCTACCTGCCTGTATTTTTCTTCAGTAGTCTGGCCTTCCACTTCCTGTCAAGCTTTTGGGCACCTCAAAACTGTTGTCTTCTGTTTTCCTGTTTCTGTTGGAATTGTTTCTTTGTGTCTTTAAAATTAGCTTTTTAGGAACATCCCGTGCAACTCGGCTTGCACTTGCCACAGGACCTTACTTATGACTGTCCTGAATTTAATGAAATCTGCCTTCCCAAGAGCTGGAGAATAATGTGCATGATTCCACGCCTTCCTTGAAAATCAGGCATTCACCTTGTCATGATCACCTAGAGCTCCTGTAACTTCCCGTGACATCCACGCTATCCACTAAGGCATCCCCATGATTCAGGATTACATCAAGCAGACACAGTCCTCTGATTATCATGTTCCTTTGGTCCTTGGCACCTTTCGTTTGCCCCAGATGCTCTCCTTGGGGCTGCCAGGCTCATCTTCCTGCATTTCAGTGCAGGGATGAGGGCTTTGAACACAGAATGCAACTCCACACCCTTTCTGGTCTGCTCTTTTCGAAGAAGTCTGTGGTTTAATCCTGGACGGTTGACCCCAACCGTGTTTCACCAATCCCTATCAAGTTGCATTTTCCTTCATGGGCAAACAGCTCAAGTTCACTCTGTTAGTTTCCCCCATTCTGGCCATCAGTGTATAGATGCCGAAGACTGTATGCTTTATGGCCTGACACTTTTGGGGTCCTAGTGGAATTATGGTGCAGAAGCCATCATCTACTACTGCCTTTGCATTCTTGTGTGCCTCTCTGGAATAGGAGAAAGAGCTACGGCCTTTGGCAATCCTTCGGTCGTACCTCTTATCTGAGCTCTAGGGCAACACACTCGTGCTTCCATCCCTTGCAGCACGGGGTCCCCCACAATGCCCACGCTCCTTTTCTTCTGAGTCAACTGGCCTCCTGTGTCTGGCTCCCCATCATCCTGCTTCCCTTGTACTTCCTGCTTGGCAGGCTGTCCTCCAGCCTCACTGTCCAGGGGCAGAAGGCATTTGCTTAGCTCTGGTGGCTCCACTCATGCAGGGCGTCCTCTGATCCTTCAGCTCCAAACTGATACCCTTCCCCTCTTCATTGGCTTTCCGCAACTCCGCCTCCTCCACAGCTGCTTCATGTGCTCACCTTGCTTCTCTGGTGCTTCCCACTGTTCCTGCAGTTCTGCCATTCTGCCCAGGGTCTCTTCACCTTCTCCTGTCCACTGAAGGTGGACACGCACCACGCAAGCCCTCGCACTTTTTCTCCCAGTTGTGCAGCCAGCTTGCACTTGTTTCGGTGTGCTGTGTGTCAGTCTCAGGCAGAGACACAGCGTTTGCCGGTCTCCACTGCTGGAGACTCTTTGCCACCCGTTTTGTGGTACAGAATGAGCAGTGCCCAGGGAAGGCAGGCTTGCCAAGGGATGCGCTCCGTCAGGGGCGTGGGCTGCGGGCCTGAGCAAGGCAGTCACAGTCCGGCCCCCGCCACCCACGGTGACCTCCTCTCCCTTCCCAGAGGCTCTCGGGCATGTGTGGACCATCAGCACCAGATCTGAGCTGGGCTGCTGTCCGGAGTCCATCACTCACAGTCCAGCCCTGCTCAGAGAACCTTCGCTCTGCTTGGGGACAGGGAGGCCTGTGAACTCTCTGAGCTGCTTTCTCTGGCGCCTCCTTGAGGGACGATGAGACTTGTGGTGCTGGCACACTCAGCGCCTGGAGGGGGGTTCGCAGGCTGCACTGGACACTGGCTGCTCTGGCTGGGAAGAGCAAAGGAGGACACATCTCTCTTCCTTGGGGAAGCTGGGAAGGGCATATCTGGATCTGGCAAGTTGCGGAGGCCATGGCTCCTTTCTTTGTCATCCTGTTTGCCTGGGAGGAACAAAACCTGTTTCTTAAGGTTCATATTTATTTCTCCGGTGCTCAATGCCGCAGCTTCCTGGGCAGTAAACAAGAAATTTGAATCCAGGGCCACGAGTGTTGCAAAACACTGTCTGGATGGAGAGTCTTTTGCTACATGGAAAGCAGTTTCAGAGACTGTGCAAAGGCTGCGATAAATTTGGGCACGTTCTGCCTCTGCAAGGCTTTTCTGTGCTGATGTGCCCTCTTGAAGTCATGCCTTGCACTCTCTCCTGGTTTCTTTGCTGCTTCCGGGCAGGCTGGTCCTCTGGCCACTTGCAGGGCACTTCCCCTGGTGCACGGGCATTGGAGAGATGCATCCTGGCTAGATTTGGTGTGGGGGGGAGTTGTGGCAGTGGGGATCAGGAAGGGGTTATGAATAGGGTTAAGGTGAAGGGGCGAAGGAGGGAGGGAATGAAAGGGAGAAAAAATGAGAAGCAGGCAGGCAGGAAGGGATGTAGGCTGGGAGGGCAGGGATCTTGGTCTACAAAAACCGGAACATTACAGGGATCAGTCGCCTTGAGTTCTCCAGCGCTTTGCCTGCTTCCCCAGGCGAGCCACAATTGACCCTGCCCATGCCCCACTCTGGCCATTTCTCCCTCTCTCTCACTCTTTTCTGCACTGAGGGAGTTTGGTGACATGACTCCATGCCTACCTGAACTGGTATAGCCCAGTCAAGGGCCTGTCCCAGCATGCTGACAACACCCCTGTCTCAGCCACTCTTAATGTCCACCTTCTGGAAGATGTGATGCTGTCCTATATTTAGTTCAGCTCATGGTGAGGAAAAAGATCTGGCAGCGTGAGCAGGTTCCCTGCAAGCCCTTGCAATGGAGGTCCCCAAGTGCTAACTCAATGTGCTCCAACTGCTGTCGGGATGGGATCCTGGGGTAGGTGGAAACAAAAGCCTCTTCCAGTGTGAGAAGAGCACTTCCCAGGAGTTTAAGGGGTTTCCAGGCTGTGTCGTGGATCAAATGAGGGAGGGTTCAGTCAGGCAGCATTCAGACTTGTTCCCCAAATCGCAGGCAATTCTGCATAAATTAAATTGGTTCCCACTTAAAGCCCAGGCCCAATTTAAAGTACTTCTTTGAACATACGAGGCCTTAAATGGTTTGGGACTGGCTACTGGAAGGGCCTCTTTACCAATATACTGCTATCCACCTATTGAGATCTAGGAATGAGTCCTTCTGAAAGAGACATCCCTAAAGGAAATAAAAGGCATGGCTTTTCATAGGGGCTTCTCAGTAATTGCCCACAAGCTTTGGAGTGGGCTTCCTGAGGAGGCCTGCCTTGTGCCATCACTATATTTGTTTCGGTGCAAGCAAAAACTGTCATCTTGCAAAGATCTCTCAACTCCTGCTTTTAAAACCTGATGATAGTGCGATCTGCACCAGCTGATTTCCTCTTCTCCCTCTGCTTGTAACTGGGTTGTGACATTAAATAATTAATTTAATTGATGAACTGTAATCATGGTTTTTAATGAGGGATAGGATGCAATGAGGCAGACTGTGGTGCAGACGGGGATCTGGTAGAGGTGGTCTGGTGAAACTAAGGGGTTTCCACAGGGGGAGAGACCTGACAGTGGAGGTATGTTATCGCCCTCCATGTCAGCTTGAGACCCTGGACAATGCCCTGACAGACCAGCTTCAGAGGATACCTCAGGGGAGGGGCATGGTAATTATGAGAGATTTCAGCCTCTGAGATATTAGTTGGGAGACTCACTCAGTGGTGATGGCCAGGTCACATCACTTCCTAGATACTATAGAGGGAGGGTTTTTCATGCAGAGAGTCCGGGAAGTGACAAGGCGGGAAAATATCTTTGACTTGGTATTGACCAACAAGGAGCAGCTGATAAATGGGTTGCAGATTGAGGAGCTCTGGATGTGAGTGATCACATCATCCTTTGCTTTGTTATCAGGAATGGGGACAAGTGGCAGGTCAAGTACTAGAAGCTGGGACTTCAAGAAGGGGGTACATGCAGGTGCCCAGGCCCAGGGCAGGCTCCTGTGGATGATGCTTTCCCCACGCGTCCTCACTGAACGTTTCCCTTCCCCACAGATGAGATGTGTATGGGGAGGATTCCCCATGGGTGCAGTTGCCCCACCAGAAGAGCCGCAGCGTCCTGCTGCCGGAGCTGCACCTTCTTAGTCATACTCAGCAAGCTGCCAGTGCTGCTCTCCTACCCAAAGTTCAGCTGTGTCAGCTCACATACAAGCTGATAATTCTACTGGATCAAAGTTCTTGCTAATTCTGTTAGAGCAAAGTGGTTTCTTCAGAAAAAGAGAACTCCTCTTTGAATGCATGTTTTACCAAATGCTGAAACGGTATGAGCAGGTGTGGCACTGAGAAGACTTGTTCAGGCTTTGGAGCTTTTAAGGGCTCAGTCCTTAAGGGCACATTGAGACAGAGAAAAGGCATACAATTTCATAGACAGGCAGAAGGACAAACAGACATAATTTCTGATGTAATGTCCATTGACCACAGACATATTTGATTGACAGATAGACATTCCAAACTGCTGCTATGATTCGCTTCAGCTATTTAACAAATGCTTATAATGTAGTTATGATAAAAGCAGAACAAGGAAATGCAAGCTTGATTCAGCTATGACATTCTTGAAAAATTCCTTCAGGTGGTTAACATATAACTGAACAAAATATTGCCACTAACAAAGAGTTGAATTTCCTTGATGGAACAAAGTCCTGTGATAAACATGCAGGAGTTTTCTCTGTGTGAATGCATCTATAAGCACATGTATAAATAACCCTTCGGTGCCATTTGTCCTGTCAGTGAGGTTGGTGTGAGCAGCCCAGGCAAGGATGGTGATTAATTGGTGGCTACTTGTAATGGTGCTGGAGCTGCTGAATGGGGCAACAGGTACCATGATAAAGCTCAACAATGGAGGATTTGAAGACATTGTCATTGCCATTAATCCTGGAGTACCAGAAGATGACAAAATAATTGCCAGCATAAAGGTAAGACTGTAAAATCATATAGGAACTTGGCAGTGTGAGCCTTAGTTACTTGAGAGAATTGTGGCAGGCGAGAGAGTTCAGCTTGCATTCTGTCACCATAAAAGTTCTAGGCTGCTACAGGAAATCTCCCACCAGCTTTACAGGTTTATTCAGGGAGGATCTGCAGCAAAATGTTGCAGTTTGGTGTGCTCTTGTTCACTGTACTAGTCAGTCTGTCATGTTCTAGAAAAAAAAAGTGAGACTTGGCATAGTTGCATAAAATGATGTGCGGTGTGCAAACGCCAGTTTTATTGATCCAAATGCAAATAGCAGAAACAGACTGAACATTGCTCTAGAACCCAAAACATGCCCTTTGTTTTCTTTCTCTGTTAGGCTATGGTCAGAGAGGCTTCTGTCTATCTCTTCAATGCTTCAAAGCAAAGGTTTTATTTCAAGGCAGTAAAAGTTGTAATTCCTTTGAAATGGACATCCATGCCAAAATATAAACCAGTAACCACAGAATCCTATGAAAAGGTAAGTGTGGAGTATTCTGCAATACACCTGCAATCTGATACAATGGTTAGTGGAAATCAAATACTTTGAATACCATGGGACTCCTGAGCACAAGTCCTCAGAACTGGGCTGCACACAATTTGTTCTTATGGAAGTTATAATGGCTTTAAAGAAGGATTAGGCCAATTCTAGTAGCCCTGCAACTTTCTTTTTAAGTTTTACAATTGTGACTGTATGATGTAGGTCACTTGGCCAATGTCTTCTACACTATGCTGAGCTAGATTATATTTCAACCTAAATTATAATAATTGTTCTGTTTAAACTAAAAAATACTGTGTCTTGGGACCATGAAAATTGACATAATGCCTCCACCAACCACAGTGTATCCAGACACTATGCTCAGCACCTGAGTCCTTGCTCTGAATGTCACCTGCAAGGCAAGCTTGGCTGGTGGCAACAAGGTGGAGAGCCTTTTGCGTGGTGGCGCCCGAGTCCTGGAATGACCTCGGGAGCGCCCCACCAAGGCCTGCCTGGCACCAACATTAGTACCTTTTCAGTGCCAGGTGAAGAGGGTCCTCTTGGATGAGGCAGTTCCCCATTCCAGGTAGCACATGGGGGTGGCAGTGGGGAACTGACAGCTGTTTTTCTGCAGGCCTAGCAGTATGCTCTGCTTCTAGCTCTTCATTTGTAAAAACGTGATTTCAAATAAGGTTTTAATCTTTAATGTACTTTTATGAGATTTTGCTGTTTAAGGCATATTGTATTGTATTGTCTTTACTATGGTTGTTCACTGCCTGGAGAGCTTCAGCTGTTTAGCAGTAGAGACATTAGATAAATAAAGACACACATTATTTCTAAATGTGTTTCCAGACATATAAATCAGCATATGAACACTTTTTGCACCCTGGTGTCCCCTTTTGACCTCTTTCCTGGCCATCCACAGGTGGCTACCCTACTACTGAGATTTATGTCTAAGGTGAAATGCATGTTCCATGGATTACACAGCTTAAAGGAAGGGAGGGATCCCAGCTGCAGTAGGACATTTGTTGGAACGTGTGTTTCTCCCTCTCCCTCTCCCTCTCCCTCTCCCTCTCCCTCTCTCTCTGAATGCCTCTAAGTGGGCATATGTGTGGAAATGTGTACATAGGTGCTTCATGCATATGAAGCCCCCAGTCCCTCAACAGACATAAGAGGGGGCAGTTCTTGGTCCTCAGAAGTTCGTGTGCCTCTCTAATAGGAAATTTCCCCCCAGCAACCATTGCCACTTGTGTGCGAATTTTAAAAGTTCTTGCCATTTCTTTTCTTGGAGATCTTTAAATCAGGCCCTGTTTTATTTTAGGCAGATGCCATAGTAGCTGACCCCTTCCTGAAATATGGAGATGATCCCTACACCTTGCAGTATGGAGGGTGTGGGGAACAGGGGCGATACATTCATTTTACACCTAACTTCCTGACAAACGACAATTTACAAGCGGTTTATGGATCACGAGGTAGTATCTGTTAATTCAAATTTCCGTTTTTTTATTAGAATATTGGATAGTTAAAATGTTGATAATGGAGATAATGGAGTAAGAAATAGCAGTGATAGAATATATTTTATGCAGTACTGTCCCTAAACTTAAGGGTTTCTTTTAAAGTCTGAAAGGACCTACATTTACATAGGAATCAGCAATGTTTGCATGTTAGGTTCATCAGTGCATTTTCAAAAGCAGTCTTCCTGGGCCGAGCCAGTCCAGCCCTCGACCAGCTTCAGCCCGGTTACTGCACCACGTGCTTCCAGACTATGGGCTATCAGGTCAGCCCTACCTTTAGGTGGCAGGTGCTGGGACTTGCAAGGCGTTGGAGGACAGGGCTGTGTATCCTGCTCTTTACCTTCCTATGTCTGCTCCGCTCAGAGTTGGTGGAGCAGGCTGTCCCACTGCCAGCCCTGAACTTAGACTGGACTTCCAGTCTGTTGACCTTCCACACATGGAACGGGGTGAGGGCACCATCCTGTTCTATGACCCGAGCAACAAAATGCCTTTGGCTGGTCGTGTCTCTGATTAAAGTTTCCACATAATGCACTGTTCTTTCCATACCACCCCTTAATCTGACGGCATTAACAACAAACTTAAAACATACAAAGCCAAGGCGAACAATGCAGGGATCTCTTGCACAGGAGAAGTACAATAGCATATTATTTTGGTCCCTGGGTGATAATCTAATCACTACCTAACCTGGCACCGTGCATCTAAGCTACCTAAGTAACTAAGTATTACAAGTAGGTAATAACTGCTTTTCTGCAGGCCGGGTCTTTGTCCATGAGTGGGCTCATCTCAGATGGGGAGTCTTTGATGAATATAATATTGATGCACCTTTCTATACAACTGGGCAAGACAAGGCTGAAGCAACAAGGTACGAAAGCATGTCTGTAACACGTGTGTTTCCAGGTGCTGGTTGCCTCGGGTCTGTTTGTTCCGTTGCGTGTGTGTGTGCAGCAGTCCATGGGATTAAGCTGTAATTTGGTAGTACTCATGGTGAGCTCCTCCAGCAGTAATGGCATGGCAAGCTCTATAACTGTGTATGACCATCGCTTAAATGTGCCAGCCATTTGTTCATAATGAGCCTTGTCTTCATGGGGAGGAGATAATGTATCCAGACCAACATAGTACTGTTTCTACCCGCTGGTATCAACTCCTGGCTGGCTAACTCTCTGTGTCTCTAATGCTGCTTAGGTGCTCAGCTAGCATCACTGGCCAATATAAGCTCCGAACTAGTTCAGGAACGCTCAGAGACTGCAAACTCGAACACCGAACTCAGCTGTATGAGGCTGGATGCCAGTTCATTCCAGACAAACAGCAAAATACTGCAGCATCAATAATGTACATGCAAAGTCTGCCTTCTGTAAGTATGACTTCTGTCAGCCAGACAATTACAGGAATCATTCAGATCCAGTGTCCGTTTTCCAAAATACAAGGAACTGTGCATGGCCACTTTTAAGTATGACTTTAAGAGAGTGTAGTTTGAACTCTTGCAGCTAATAGAAATGCACCTCTTCAGATGCTTTTCCTATTCCTGTATTTTCTTCCTGAGAGTTTTTCCTGTTCCCTCTTGTGCTGGGCAGGGATTGGCTGTTGAGGGTCAGTGCTTACATCTCCAGTTCTGCATCCCCTCTTTCTCTGAGACCCTCCCCCAGTCTCTGATGGAGGCACGCTTGGCAGCAGTGGTGCTCAGCTCTCCCATCCACCTTCCAGCCCTGTCACCATAGCTGGGCTTGCAGATCGCCCTCACTTTGCGCCCAGAGGATCCTGTCACAGCCCATCACAACCTCCTCACCAAGATACCACTAGGGATTCTTCAT